TTATTGTTGGTCAACAGCATTGTTGACTCGATATTGCCCGGAATGAGGCATACATTAGCTCAATCTTGAAATCCAACATTCTGCTTGTAATTAATTTTGTATGTATACACTTTTACCTAAATAAAGAATTATTATTATTATTTATTCAATGGTTCCTTTAACGAATGGCAGAACCGGGAATTCTTTACTTACATAAAGTGCTTGAGTAATAATTCTTGATAGCTTGAAAAGTGTTTTAGATTAACTTATATATAAGTTCGTATCCCCAGGTCACATATATTTTAGATTTAGATTTTGTATTCAGGTGTTTGTGTTCATACATACATAGAAAATGTTCATACATACATAGAAAATGAGTTACAAGCATAATGTTGGATTTAAAGATAGAGCTAGTATATACAATACCTAAAGCCATTAATACGCATTGCGTTTCGGGCAAAATATGACCGAAAGTGACGACGTTTCGGTCTATTGAGACGTAGATAGACTTGTGAAAGGTCCCAGACTGACCGAAACATCGCCCATAGCCTGAAACCTCGTCAGACAACGAACCGAATAGTCACATTAGGCTCCAGAAATGACCGAAATGTTGTCACATGTCGGTCAATGACCGAAACGTCGTCATATATTTATTTATATATAGCTTCCTATTATCTAGCAATGTTCATTAGTTTCAGGGGTATCCATTTTGGGTAATAATTACCTAAATGATTTGTATAAATATTATTTTTACAAATGTGCTTTAATATTCATCTTCAGTGTAAGACAGTGTCATGTCACCTGCTATTTGAGTCATGTTAATTGCTATGGTATTAATGTTATGCGCATGTTTCGACTCTCTGTCTCTCTCATGCGCATGTTTCGACTCTCTGGCTCTCTCATGCGCATGTTTCGGCTCTCTGACTCTCTCATGAGCATGTTTCGACTCTCTGTCTCTCTCATGCGCATGTTTTGACTCTGTCTCTCATGCGCATGTTTCGACTCTGACTCTCTCATGCGCATGTTTCGACTATCTGTCTCTCTCATGCGCATGTTTTGACTCTCTGGCTCTCTCATGCGCATGTTTCGACTCTCTGACTCTCTCATGCGCATGTTTCGACTCTCTGGCTGGCGCATGCCTCGACTCTCTTGTCCTGACATGCGCATACACGATAAGTTGCACCGAGGGGGTATAAATAGTCTTGTTTTGTGTCTGTATATACACGGACTGTGTATGGCTCGGCCCATCATACATGTATGTGTGGAGAAGGGGGGGCGGGGGCTCACCTTCTGCACAAGGACAATGGCTGCATCTACGCAGGTGTTCCCTCTATCAGGTGTTCCCTCTATCAGGTTTTCCCTCTATCAGGTGTTCCCTCTATCAGGTTTTCCCTCTATCAGGTGTTCCGCCCGTTAGGTACTCCATCACCAGGTGAATCCCTTTAGAAAACTGTACAAATCCCAATGGTTAACCCGAGATCTCTCAAGGTATGGGGCACCATTGTTTGGTAATCCAACTGCCAGTTTTTATTTTTAACTGCTGATTCAAGGCCGGATTTCCTGCCGACCCCTTCAGGCCGAATTTCTACACCGGTTTGTACATATTTATCCGTCCTCCTAAGGTTTCCCAACGTCCAGAAACTGTCGTATTAAAGTGGTCTCTTCTAACCTACCAGAGGACCCAAAACAGAAAACGGGACAGTACGTCACTTTCGCCAGCCGCTTCCGTTTTCTAGTACGACGATTTTTTACCTCATGTTGAGTAATACGTCAAAATGCGACGTTCTATTAGGAGGACAGGTTAAGACCAAGGAGATATATGGTTTGTTTTGAATTTCATGATATTATTTGGACGCCATTTTGAAATTCTAGGGTACCGCAAAATTATATATATTTGTCTTACAGGGAAGAAATCCACTTTGGATATTAATATTATATATTGTCTAAAGGAACGATTTATTTATATTATTACATAAATCACACATGACAAATTAGATTTTTGTCACTTTTTGTTTGTTAACATTTAAATGAATAGCAGTTAAGAAGTATACGGTTAGTAGGTGTATGTACATTTTTTATCAAAAATAACATAATTTTGTAAAGAAATGTAAAGAAAATAGGTCAGGTAAAACCTTGGAACATATACACACTAGAGCAACCTTGGAACATATACCCACTAGAGCAACCTTGGAACATATACACACTAGAGCATCTTGGAACATATACACACTAGAGCATCCTTGGAACATATACCCACTAGAGCAACCTTGGAACATATACACACTAGAGCACCTGGAACATATACACACTAGAGCAACCTTGGAACATATACACACTAGAGCACCTTGGAACATATACACACTAGAGCAACCTTGGAACATATACACACTAGAGCAACCTTGGAACATACACACACTAGAGCAACCCTGGAACATATGCACACTAGAGCAACCTTGGAACATATACACACTAGAGCAACCTTGGGACATATACATGTACAGGGGGAATAAAAGGGAAGGTACTCCGGTGGATTAGAGAGTACCTAAGCAACAGAAGATAGCTTGTCACTATATGGATGAGGTATCAGAGTGGCTAGATATCATTATTGGAGTCACACAGGGCTCAGTTCTTGGTCCTATCCTGTTTCTGATGTATGTAAATAATCTCCCAGAGAGAATAGGCTCGTTCCTCTCAATGTTTGATGCAAAAATTATGAGGGAAAATTAAGACAGATGGAAAAGAGTAAGAGGCTATAAGATGACCTAGACAAACTAAAGGAATGGTTCGACAAATGGCTACTAAAGTTCAACTCAAGAAAATGTAAAGTGATGAAGCTAGATAGAGGGGGAGCAAGGTGTTTCAAGGGGTACCGAACGGGAGAAGTTGTCCATGAAACGGACAGAGGAAAAAATCAAAACGTTGTTATGGTAATTATGGATATATCACACCTCTCCTGAAGCCCACATCAAAAGAATATTATCAGGGGCGTATGCGAGGCTGATAATATCCTTTAATATATATATATATATATATATATATATATATATATATATATATATATATATATATATGTATATATGTATGTATATATATATATATATATATATATGCAAACAAGCCTGAATGGTCCCCAGGACTATATACAACTGAAAACTCACACCCCAGAAGTGACTCGAACCCATACTCCCACAACTGGTATGTACAGGGACGCCTTAATCCGCTTGACCATCACGACCGGACAAAAGGAAGTGATAGCCGAGGCTATATGAACCACTTCCCCGCCGGCACTCGGATGGTAATCTTGGGCATAGCATTTTATCAAATCACCTCATTCTTTGGGGCACACGTGAGGAACACAAATGCAAACAAGCCTGAATGGTCCCCAGGACTATATACAACTGAAAACTCACACCCCAGAAGTGACTCGAACCCATACTCCCACAACTGGTATGTACAGGGACGCCTTAATCACGTCGTGATGGTCAAGCGGATTAAGGCGTCCCTGTACATACCAGTTGTGGGAGTATGGGTTCGAGTCACTTCTGGGGTGTGAGTTTTCAGTTGTATATAGTCCTGGGGACCATTCAGGCTTGTTTGCATTTGTGTTCCTCACGTGTGCCCCAAAGAATGAGGTGATTTGATAAAATGCTATGCCCAAGATTACCATCCGAGTGCCGGCGGGGAAGTGGTTCATATAGCCTCGGCTATCACTTCCTTTTGTCCGGTCGTGATGGTCAAGCGGATTAAGGCGTCCCTGTACATACCAGTTGTGGGAGTATGGGTTCGAGTCACTTCTGGGGTGTGAGTTTTCAGTTGTATATAGTCCTGGGGACCATTCAGGCTTGTTTGCATTTGTGTTCCTCACGTGTGCCCCAAAGAATGAGGTGATTTGATAAAATGCTATGCCCAAGATTACCATCCGAGTGCCGGCGGGGAAGTGGTTCATATAGCCTCGGCTATCACTTCCTTTTGTCCGGTCGTGATGGTCAAGCGGATTAAGGCGTCCCTGTACATACCAGTTGTGGGAGTATGGGTTCGAGTCACTTCTGGGGTGTGAGTTTTCAGTTATATATATATATATATATATATATATATATATATATATATATATATATATATATATATATATATATATATATATATATATATATATATATATATATATATATATATATATATATATATGTATATATGTAATAGTTTTAACGAAACGCGCCCGTGTCGCGTCAGAATAGAATAAAAAGAATTTTGGAGATATGATATATATATAATATATATATATATATATATATATATATATATATATATATATATATATATATATATATATATATATATGTATGTATATATACACTATATATTTATAGTAAGGATACAGTATATATATATATATATATATATTTAAACATTGTTATTATTATTAGTATTATTATAGCGGTCTATCTAAGTAAACAATATTAGAAATAGGCGAGACACAGACAATTGGCTGTAAGGTAATTAGTCATTACGATAACAAGTGTTTTTGACGTACGAGGAGGTTCACCGCTGACTGGCCCCCAACCCTCCTCCTGATCCTCTATCCTCGCCCCGAAATGCTTATTTATAACCCTTATAAACAATCCAATTCCTTAGCGTAATACTCGCCTTTATCGACGAAACTCTTTATAAAATTACAAGATATATCTATTTGGCGCTATAATAAATGTAGGAATGAGGTGTAGATATTATTTTTAGAATAGAAAGATTGTATTTAGCGAGGAAAGGAGTTTAGTAGTGTGTGAAGGGAGGAGCGGCGGCGCCGGCCGTCTTAACGTTGGAACCCGTCGGTGATGGAGACCATGACACGGTATTGGAGAAAGTGCGATGGATTCCGACAATTTCTTCGAATTTGACGCTTCGATCCCGGTAAGAGATCCCGCCGGCGGGAGCGACGTGTCGTGAAGCTATGTGGGTAGGCCCTTGACGGCGTTATTGTCGGAGAATTAATGGGAAAATGGCGATATAAGTTCCTGCGGGAGAACTTTTTTTTTTTTTGGGAGGCCTGCGCCGCAGAGCTCGAGTTGATCAACATTGCAATTGCAAGTTCTTGTGTCACTTTGTACTGTTGGTATTCTGTTGCATCAACACACGCGGGAATTGTGGTATTTCGTACGGTTAAAAGGTGGTTTTAGGGGTTAAATAAGCGTTAAATACGAGGGGTGATATGTCGGTGCCGAAGGCTGTGAACGAAGGTCAAAATGTTCTTCCTGAACTCCACACACAGCAACTGTTCTCTTGCGGTGTTCTCTGTGGCCCCGGAGAACACAGGCGGAGACGAGGAACGACGGAATTTGGTATAGATACTGCTAGAGGACTGCGAGAGAGTGGTTCTCACACCAGCTGTGTGATAGTGGTTTGTTGAACACGAATACCAGTTCCATTGTTAAGTGTTATGTTACCTTGGTGGTAGTGGTGCAGTAGTGACGGGTAATATGCTTTTACGTGGTTATGTAAATTATTATTGCGACAAAAACGCTTTTGAGGCCCTTGTAAAATTATATACATGAACTCACAAGTCATTCTGGAGAGTAGAACAACTCCCAGAACCCCATCAACCAGGTATCATTAACTTTGGAAATGTTCAGAAAATGCATGTATTAACACGTAAGACATAATAATGAACACCATAACTGTCATAGAAGCAATACATATTGGCAACATGTTGAAAAAGAGTAATGTCCCACCTGTCATTAGAAGCAGGTGGGACAGCTCGCTCTCCTAAAAAAAAAAAAAAAAAAAAAAAAAGGTGCCAACCAAACACAGGGAATAATCAGAAGCCTTCGATTTCAAAGCAAAGAAAGCAACACATTCAGTATAGTCTCCGTGGTGTAGTGGTAAGACACTTGTATACCTCAAAAAAAAAGTAACTTCACTGGAAAAGGTTCATTGCAGTGCAACAAAAAACATCCCTGAACTAGGTCAAATTTGTGGCAGGAAATGTTGACGTCCTCGGGACTAACACGTCCACATAGTGATTGATGTCACACACACAACTAGAAAATACAGAATAAATTAGAAGGTATTAATCCAGACTAATACTTTATCCCTTAATTAATCTGCTGCTGACATTTTTGAGTGATTAATCCATAGTGCTCCTGTTATTTTTGAACAATTTAATTATCCTCTTTATTCAGTTTCAAAATATTCCACATGATTGTTATTCTACACTAGAGACCTCTGGCAATCGTTTGCGATATTGAGAAAAATCGTTAAAGGATTAGAGACCTTCTCGGGCAATATAAAAAAAAATTTGGCACCATATCGGTTGCATCGCCATTCATTTGTAGATGCCTGTATTCAGAAACATTGACCACATGGGAAATTCAAAAGACCTGTCATGGGCCAGGAAAATTTGTGGAAATCCTTTGCAATTACAGCAGTTCACAACGCCCAAACAAGAATACGCTTTTTTTTTTCTCTCTAAGAAATGTTTTAAGATAGAAAATTATTTTTTTGTTTTGTGTACAATGCTCTTGAGAGAACATGACAAATTTCTGCGAGTGTTATGGCTACCAGACTCGTGTCTATGGCTCTTCGGCCATTTAAAGGCAAGCTGCCTCATAGACCAGGCAATAGCCAGGAAAAGCTGGACTCTGGGCAGGTTGCAATACAAACACTATCGGAATTATCCACAGCTCGACTGGCGCTTTAACTTTTTCAACAATGGATCGAGATTGATAGCAAATATAGCCCTGAAAACGGCACCTTGTTTGATCCCTTTTTTTTCCCCATGAGATATTCAGAGGAAACATTACTCCATTGCACACCTGATAAAAAAATATATAGATATAATTCATCATGTCTAGTAATGTTGTCCTCTCATATCTAGTGCTGACAGGAAATACTTTTCTGTCAATTAAGCAGTCCTCTAAAACGTTTGGCAAGTTCGACTTGCTATTTCTCCAAACATTAATTCAAGAAATTTATATAATTTTGCCCGAAACGCATTGCGTAATAGTGGCTTTAGGCATTGTATGTACTAGATCTATCTATATATCAATCCATTAATGTAACATCACTTGTATGTATATACCTTACCTGAATAAACATCTGAATCTGAATCTGAATCTAATGAATCTTTGCACTTAACAGCCTGAGGATGGCGCCCTTGAAGTAGGGCTCAATGAGGACGAAGAATATGACGCTCTTAATGATGAAACGTTTGGTTCGGCGGCAGTGGATGGGGACTGGGAGGAGTGTCACGAACAGATGGCATCTTTAACCGAAGCTGGACGTACGAAGATTAAACAACAGGAATTGCACAATGCTTTACGACAGGTGAGAAATGTATTGTTGTTTTCGGTGGCATGTCTACAGTAGTAATGAAAGTGCTTATAAGGTTAGATTAAGTGGCAAGTAGATGTGGTTCCAACAATGTAAGAAATGCAGGGAGACAAGTTTAGACATATTTAGTTGGCCTTTGAGTACAAATATGAGTTGGTAGTGGTCTTGAAATTTGAGAACACAAGCATGTGTAAATTAAATATAAACGTAACTAAAACCCGATTTAAGAACTCTTAAGTGGGTGCAAAGTGGGAGGGAGAGAGAGAGACCTGGAAAAGGAGAATAAGAGCTAAGGTGTAGTGCAAGACCAATGAAAGTAAATAAACCATTTGGGATGAAAATTGGTGTTTAGATAATAGTGTGTAAAATGTGAGGTGATTTGTATTAGTCTATCCTGCAAAGAAGTAAATCACATTTTCCAAATTCCCACCTTGCAAAACTGAGACACTGCTGTATTTTATTTGTATGTACAGTATCTCAAACGTTAGATACTTTAGATACAGTCAAGTAGATACTTTGCCAAATCCATAACTTCTTTACTACATATGTTGAGAAAAATGTTTATTATATTTGACAGGGAGATGTATGCTTGGCTGAGGAGTTCAAACATTTGGGCCTTAGGAAATACGACAACCCAGGTGGCAGAAATTTAACCCAAAGTAGCATGCCCATCAATATCATTGGGTACCAATCTGTTCCAGCTAGTCGTACCCATATAGGGTCGTCTTTGCTCGTGGGACCTGATCTACCAGGCTCTCCGTCCAATAGTATATGGACTCCCTCACCTGGTGTAGACAAATTACGACCAGTTATTCAACACTCTCCGTCTAATGGTATGGGTCACACTTTAGGACAGATTCCTCATGGACTCGCACAACCTGGCATCTCTCCATCTTTGGGTCTTCCAACAATCAAGACCGTGGCCGAGGTTGAGGAGGAGATGAAGCTTCAGCACGCTAGGTCTCAGTCATCTTTTAGTCTCCAGGTAAATGAGTGACCAGATCTCTAATTTGTTGAAAAGTAATTAATGAGTGTAAACTTGGAAATGAACACATGATGTATAATGGTAAATGTTGATCACAAAGGGAAATTAAGTGATTGAGCATTTAAGTATTTTCAACATGTCTTAAACTAGTACAAAGTACAGTACAGTATTGGTATGATTAGACTAATGCAATTGCAAGTCAAGTTAACAAGTCATTATAGGTGTGGCCTGATAGGTCTTGATTCTCATATTGAAATGGGATTTTAATAAGGCTTTAAGGTCTGACATGCCTCTATTTTAATGTTTGAGATGTTGGTCATTACTTAAAGAACAGTTCCTGTTTGAGTAGTTTTATGATGCTGTCAGACATAATCTCTAATATCCTTGTGTTTATCAAAATTTGACTGCTTGCATTTTAGCAGGTTTCTAAATTTTATTGCTTTATTAAGCCTAATACAAACATAATCTAAAATTAAGAAAATAGGAAGTGAGCCATAAGTTCCTTGAAATTCAGTGGACATTGCCTTTAAAGGTTGGGGGAGCCCTGGTCTCAAGGAAGCTTTCATTAAGAAGTATGGTTCCGACTGGAATTCAATTTAAAGTATGCTTTTCTGTGCGTTCATTAGCAAGCACTGAGAGCTGAGGACTTGGAGAGAGAGCTGGCTCGACAGACAGCTAGTAAATCGCAACAGCAGCAACAAGGGTTAAGCAGCTTCTTACAACAGTCTGCACCATTCAACCTTCAGAGGCAGGGATCCTTCACTGGAGGCATGCCAAACAACCCTAGTCAGTTTAATCGTCGCTTCCAGAGACCCTTCCCTAATCAAGGTTAAATATTTGTTTATATTTTAATGTGAAGGTGTTGTAATTAATATTACCTGGTATAAAGGAGCATTGAAAATCAAAATGCATACGAGTAGACAATAAACATACTGTACTTTAAGGGTTGAAAGTGAATATAGACATAAATTTTGGTGGAGTGAGGAAAACTGAAATTAATGCGAGTAACAAAGGGCTGTTAATTATTTGGTTTAAATGCCTAACATGTGATAAATGCTCACATAATGTATAAATTATTAAGGTCAGGAAGGAAAAATGTCCCGTGTAATGCCATAGTTAGGATAAATGATAGAATTAGATTTAATCAGAGGGCTGCATGTAGGAGTGCTAATGCCGACTCTCATCAACGAGTGCACGATGAGTGGTATGAACTACTCTAAGAATTAGATCAATAGAAATGAATAATCAGAAAAGTGTGTATGGTGTGAGAATAGGTAGATTAAGAAATTTACCTGAATTTTACCTGAGAACCACTATCTCTAGTGGTCTTGACCAGGATAGGAAGCCAGCAGCTTGTCAGAGGTCCCTCCATAGGTCCTGAGGATTTTTCCAACTAGATGTTGAACCAAAGTCATGTCATGGAGCAATGTGACATGTGAAAGTTGATAAATAGCATGATTCAGGGAGCATCCCCAAGATAGCTTGTGTATGTTAAACAAATGGTGATGGTAGAATGGTGAAGACTGTACACATGTTGAATTTGAGGGTAGGAGTGGAAGGCAGGGACGATAGATGGAGATGGTGAACGAGCGTGCAGAAGCAGGAATCGAGAGATGGTAGAGGACAAAGCCGAGTAAAGGCAGTTTTGCAAAAATGAAATGTTTTGTAGTGTTCTGGGGTTTGGCAATTTGCAAGGAGCACTCTACCTGGTTCTCGCAGTTTCATTAAATTTCCAAGGTGCCAGTACGTTTATTAAGTCGTCTTGGTGATGGCAGCAAGATTCACAAATGCCTCCTTTTTAAATCTGTTTGAATCTTATTTTTACATTTACAATACTGGACCAGTTCTTAATCTTCTTGGTGATGTTAAAAGTTTAGATATTCCTTCAACTTTCCCATGCACAAGTATTTGAGACTTGTGGTTTGGTCAACTATTTCAGGCATGTTATTGTGACTCCTCGGCTGCACAAGTATTTGAGATCTCTTAGTGAACAGAAGCTATGCCCACATATATATTATTAAGAAAGCAAACAAACGTGGTGATTAATAAATGTACTATGGTGTTATTTAATTTGTTAATTGTGTTAATCTTGCAGGAAGTTATCCGGGATCTATGCAACAATACTCGCATCAGCAACACCCATATCAGCAGCAACAACAACGCTTTGTGAATTGTGGAGGATTCCCAGGAAATGGTACTAAGAACTTCAGCCAGCCTCCTCCACAGCTGCCTCAGACACATGCTAATCAGACTCAAGATTGTTATTCTAGTTACCATCACCATCACAATAATTACCATAGTAACTTTCAGCAGCAGCAGCAACAGCAGCAACATCAGCAGCAGCAACAGCAGCAGCAGCAGCAAAGTTACCACCATAACCGTAATCCAGATGGCCGTTACATAAATCACAATGGCTATGACCAAGGTAGAAATGGCAATGGCTTTGACCGCAGAAACTATGAAAGAAAACCTTACGATCAGAGCCGCAGCTTTGACCAAGGAAAAAAGTGAGTCATTATGCATATGCAAGAATATCTGTACACATTGAGTTTATTGAAGCTTTTGCTTGTTCATGTTTCTACTAAATTAAGTAATATATTCATATTATCCTGAGTATTGAATGTGCATGATACTAGATTGTAGTGATGGGGTTCTCTGTCTAGGGTACTTGTACCCCTGGTGTATCCTTGTTTATATGTTCCAAGGTTACTCTATTGACTTAATCTACCAGAGTAACTTTGGGAAATATTAACACGAACAACAAGGGTGCATGTTACCCCCAGGCTTTAAACCCCAGCAATATGTGGTGTAATAAAATGTGGTTTTCAGTCAATACGATCGAACTGGCAACTCTAGAGAAGATTATTCATCGCACCCTGGACGAATTCGACGAGACAGCGAGGCAGAGTGGGAGGAATGGCATCGTATACGGGAGCAAGACGAGTATTGTGGGCTTATGACTCCACGAGAGAAAGGATGGCTGAAATATATCCAAGCCATGCAGTTGCACTCTGATAGTCCATATCAAGATGATTATTATTATGTGGTAAGTTTGGTATCGTGAATTGACACGTTTCTGTGGACTGCATCCTTTTTGCAGATACTGTAGTAAGGTCAGCTTGATTTAATATTTACATACAAGTTACTCCCACGTACATTTGCTAAAGCTAGGGAAGATCCATCATTTATATGGTGTTTGTTTATTTTATAACATAAATGATTTATAGGATAATGCTAGTTTCTATTCACTGAAATTTTGTTTTCCTTAGCGTATATTATGTACTGTACTATGTGCAGAACTATTATCACACGGTAATGTTACCAGTATGGTGCTCCATTGCAGTCTTTACAGTAACCTCGTACTGGAATATATTTACACACACACAGTACTAATTTCTTAATGTGGAGTGGCAGTTATTTATTTAATTTTCTTGTGTTATGCTTCTAGATGTATAGTGTTAAACAGCAACGCAAAAGGGAGGAAGAAGTGATCGAGATAGATGGTCTACAGTTACTCTTGCCAGATCGTGGGAAAGATGGAGGAAGAGAGTATGAACCTCCACGACTTGAAAACTCTCTAGGTAAACTGCAAGTAGTAAGTGTAAATGCCCCGAGAAAAATTATTGACCTGCAAGTGGTGCATCTCGATCCTTCGCATCCCACAACATCTCTGCAGCGCGAGATGAGGAAACACAGACATCTGCTCCTGTATGTTGAAAAGGTAACTGTTTAGTGCTTTGATGGTTAAAAATGTGTACTGTCTGGATACAGGTTTTAAAATTAGGAAGAATAGGGAAAAACGTACATGGCCTTCATTTGAGCAAACAATGCCTTGGGACTTGGTTTGATCAAATGAGCATCTGGCCAGCCCTATTGTTTGTTATACAGTATAATTTTTGTAAATGTTATTGATAGGGTGTACAACACCTGGAATGCACTGTGCAGGCTTGTCTTAGTATAAATGAATAAAAAATAAGATGCATCATTGGGAACAGCAGTACTGCTTAGTTTCCAGTAGTGTTAGTGCTGCAGAATGCAGCAGGTTACACTGACCTGTCTGCTACTCTCATTCAGGTTTTGTTTCACAGGGTGATGTATTTTGTAAGGATATTATATATCTTCAAAAAATGTTCTTTTGCAGTTGTTCAATGTAATGATGGAATTGGACGACTTGGAACGAAAAATTCGCCACTTGCCCGACTGCCCAACACGTGATCTATTTAAGTCCAAGTCCCGTCAGCTGGCTTCTAGACTTTGGAGTAGTGTAACATCAACACCAGAACGACTTGTGCAGCTATTATGTATACGGAAAGGAAAGGTAAGTTGTTAGATTTTTATATTATACAGTAGGTTAACTTCAAAGGAATTTGTGTACAATTTGTAGCCTACTGTTGGAAGTTTGTTAGTATGCACTATTTTTGTGAATTTAGATAAACGAGCCTTTGTTTATATTTAATCTAATCTTGGAGGCTTAAAATTAGGGTGTGGTTTATCAGTATAAGAGAACTTGAAGATTTTCATCATGTGAGAGGCTGGTGGGGCCATGACAGGCTCTTCTCCAATCTTTACACGCAGGAAGGAAAATATTCAAACTTTGTATCGATGTAAAACAAAATATCGAAAGTGGTTGGGAGTAAAATTTCCGGAGACATCGTGAACGAAGGATTTTAAAGTAAACATTAAGGAGCATGTTGAAGTGTAGCGGCTGAAACAGTAAAGAAGGTAAACAAAGGTTTTGTAATCCTTCAGATGTCATTGACACTTGGAGATATGTTGCAACCACATCCTCCTGAAATGATAGTACTGTACTTGATGTAATTATTTGGTGCAAAATACCGGTATGTAGTGATGGACCTCCTGTAAACCACTTTTTTCACTATTGTATAATAGACAAATATTAAGCTAAATTCCAAATTTGAATATTCCTAGACCTAGTATAGCGCATATGTACTGTATTAGGCGTATGATAGTGTATATATATTGGACCTAGGATTGCTAGGCCTAATGTGTTGGGATATAGGTGAATGTTTGGTTTAGCAAGATCTGCAATCGATGAAAGGCAAAACGCATCATAGTTATTTGTATTTCAGAGTTTGTTGTGTCGTCTAATAAGCTGGTTAGGGGAGAGTGAACATGAAAAGCTGGTGATGAACATATTGCAGAACATGCCCCTCTTGGCTAAGAAAGATGCACACGATCAACATTTAGCGCTCTTTTGGCCAATTACGGATCGCCTGGTTGCATCTTCCTCCCATGACCGCATGATTGACCTGGCTGCAGCTCTCAATACTCAAGGAACGACACCACACAAGACAAATTTGGCGTCGGCCTTGTGTAATAAGGTAATTATTTCCCTTTGCATTAGTAGGCTATTTTGTGTATTTTACCTTTTTGTAGTAAAGTATATGTTCACATAGCTACACATTTCTAGGAAGGAATTATCAGGGGAAAGCACCAAGCTTTTACGACTATATAGATCTTGGAAGGGGTCAGGATGGGGATTTGGGATGGGCCGGGGGAAGGAATGGTGCCCAGCCACTTGGACGGTCGGGGATTAAACGCAGACCTGCTTGAAGCGATACCATCACTCAACCTTCCAGCACAAGTGGCTGGGCTTGGAGTGTGCATTTAATTTTCTGCTGCAAATTTTAAGAGTTATTTGCTGCTGGTAATGAAACCAAAGTACTTGTGCACAGTGAAGTAAGAACATACAATGAATAACATAAAATGCACAGGGTGGGGAGTTTTAAGTTACAGACATTCCAAGTGGAGTAACGGAAAAAATAGTACATTTTTTGGAACTCTTATAGTTATAAATTGGAATATGAAACATTAAGCATTTTATCTGCATTAATCAGAGAGGATAATTCAAATATTGGCTAAAATTCTGGTTCAGAACAGGTGGTTGCCAAGAGCAGTGCTGGTCATCAGCGAGGTGCATTATTTTTGCATCTGCTTTTTAAACTTGCCGTGATAAATTTTACATTTATAATAATCCAAAGATCATGGCTGCCAAGGACAATAGTGTCAAATGTGTTGCAATATTAATCTTGTGTATAACTAGTGCCACGGGGAATCAATTTGATCCTGGGGTCAGCCGTAGTTGATTAACACTAGATTATAATTATTATAACTTGACCGATACAGCTATGGCAAAACAATACTTGATATTTATATAAAATTGGTTTAATGGACAATTAAGGGTCAGCTGGCAACTGTCTGGGTGTGACAATTTTGTATAAACATGATGGATATTACACATTAGGGTCCACCATTTTGGGGAATGGGTTATTTTATATTATAAAATTGTACTGAAAAGTATCAAGACTGTGATAGACCGATGACACGCCTCTCTTGATTGCCCTGTGTGATTAAACCATAAGTACAGTACTACTTTCTTCTTCCAGTATGGTGTGAGTTTGATAATGGCTCTATTGGTACGAGGAGAACACCTTCAGTCAACTCTTGGAGGTTGTGACGAATGGCAAGAACTACTACTAGCAGTCATTAATGGGCTTGCCACTGTCTCGGACACTACACTCAAGACTTCCAGTGATGGCAGCAAGGCCTCCACAGAAATTCCCCAAGCCCTTCCCTCTGTAGCTCTTGCAGCTTCACCTTACCGCCCTGGCCAGCATCTAGCAAGATGTACTAAGGCGGAACCCCAACGTCTCAAAGCCTCCCAAGACAAAATGGCCCTCCTTGAAGTCACACACACTAAACCAAGGTGTCAAAGTCCAGTCAAATCTTAATCCTAGAATAAAATAGGATGTATGAAAGAAACAGAAGGTTTTGTTTAAATTAAACAACTGGATTCCTGATGGTTTGGTTTTCTATCTTGTATGGGGTCATTTTTATTTTGAAAAAACAAAATTGAATAGTTCAAAATGTCACCTATTAAATTATTTTGTATCCATATTGTTAAACTTTATTAAGAATGTTATGTAAAGAATAAGTGTTTTTAAAAAATAATAAAACAGCCTGATGAGTGGGCCATCTACAATCATAATAGATGATTATGCAACCTCTAGGATTTGTGTTGAGGATAGCTCTCTTGTTCTCACTTCTGAAGTGTGACACCACATTAGCTAATGTTTTGTATTTCATTAGACCTTAGTTTACCGTCGCATAACACACCCTAATCTAGTGCCGTTTAAGAAACCATGTATGCCAAGAGTTATAGAGCCGAACGGCCCATGTGTTATACAAATTTTAATTGTATAGATTTTTATGGTAAGTAAACATGCTTGTATTCCTGTGTTCAGTGGAAAACATAATCACCAAGATGTACGATGTATTGGAGGTGTAAAAGGTGGCATCAGTTTGGCTTTAACCATTTAACTCTAACTAGCCAAGGCTTCGTATACTGTTTGCTGTATCGATATTAATGCTGGAAATGAAGTTGGTAATGTGGTAAATGGGAATTTGTAAACAGACTACCGAGGCCGTTTTCATTGTGTGCTCCACTTGGTACAGGGATGATGATTTATAATCTGGTGCTTTAAAACTGTTATGGGCAATTTTATAATCTGCAGGCATTGGTGACAATTATCATAATTTACAGTTTAAAATCCCATTCTTAGAGATGCAGCTATCATCTGGCAATAACTAAGGTGTTAGTTTATCAGTCCACTAATCACTGTTAATTTAATTACATGGTCTTCAAAAGGCTGTTGCATTACTGTGATACACAGTATATCAAAGAGGTTCTTTGCTTTTTATTTTCTTAAACTAATTTCCCACTTGTGACAATTGTTGAAGTTTGTGACTGACTCAGACGCAACTCCGTTAAGTCATGTTTTAAGAGTTACTTTGTGGTATGAGTATGAACGTTAAGCTATTCTACTCAAATGACTGCAACAGATGAATTTGTAAACGTAGGGAAAGTAGTGAGTACTTACAATTTTGAATAGACTTGATTCCCTCCCTCAATTTTTGTTATATAAATTGAACATCTGATGTACATTTTTATATATGGCTCTAAAGAATTTTTACGTTTTTTGGGCTGGGTCTTGTACAAGTTGTTAGTAATTAGCTTGTCTCGTGGGCGTCTGTGGGGCGATATTGGTTAAGCCCAGGCTACATTTGTTTATGGTCTTCCAACACAGACTGGTTCCCTACCCAGTGCTACATTTTTTTTTTTCTAAAATAAAACATCCTTGGAATTGCACAAACTGGTTTTTGTTTCTTTGTATTTTTTCTATTTAAATGTGACAATTAGGTGTGTTGCCTAGTACTGATTATCTTTTAGAAATTTAGTTAAAATGAATTGGTAACAATTTTGTCTTCAAAGTGTGAGATTGAGAAAAGTTAAATGTTTCAACCCTAAAACTACAAGTTGGTTAACATTATAAGGAAATGGGCTAATAATGCAATTGATATCAATGAACACATCACTATTGAAATTAAAGATAACATTGGCATAATTCCTAATTAGGTTTCCCAGCTTGGTGCCTTTTTATAATCATTTGCTTATTACGAAATTGACATTGACTAACGTTGCCCAATAAAATGGTAAACCTTATTTTATATAATCATTAGATTAGAATTTGTTCCATCAATGCACGTGACTATTCATATGAAATATTAAGTTTGAGAACTTTTGCAATTTTTCTTGTCACCCATACAGTATTTAGTTTGCATTTTCTCAATCTTGCAAGGAAATGTGACAGTGATTCAGGTTTTTAGAACTGATCTCTGGTCCTCCCAAGAACAGCTGTGTATTGGACATGGAGCTTGCCAAGAACAGCTGTGTACTGGACATGGAGCTTGCCAAGAACAGCTGTGTACTGGACATGGAGCCTCCCAAGAACAGCTGTGTACTGGACATGGAGCTCCCCAAGAACAGCTGTGTACTGGACATAGAGCCTCCCAAGAACAGCTGTGTACTGGACATGGAGCTCCCCAAGAACAGCTGTGTACTGGACATGGAGCCTCCCAAGAACAGCTGTGTACTGGATGTAGAGCCTCCCAAGAACAGCTGTGTACTGGACATGGAGCTCCCCAAGAACAGCTGTGTACTGGACATGGAGCTTCCCAAGAACAGCTGTGTACTGGACATGGAGCTCCCCAAGAACAGCTGTGTACTGGACATGGAGCCTCCCAAGAACAGCTGTGTACTGGACACGAAACTTCCCAAGAACAGCTGTGTACTGGACATGGAACTTCCCAAGAACAGCTGTGTACTGGAATAGACACTTAACCATCGTACAATATATCTGAGCATAAACAATATATAATATATATTATACAATATATCGAGGCATAAATAAAGAGGACAGGTTACCTCTTATTGGTTCAGGTACAGTATTAGTTATATTGGATAACTGTTTACAATTAATCGCTAAACTAAGCAATTAACATTTGAGATGAGCTAGTTACATATTTTAATTGGCCTATCATGGCACCCAGAACCCACCTGGTGGGCGTGGGTGGAAAGTTTTAAGTTGCACCATAGGCATACACTGTCTACAATAAACAATTTTAATTGGGAAACCTGATGATGATTTCTGGCAGTATATATATTTGTTAATGAAATGCTTGCACATTTGTGATATTTATTTCTAATTCTTTAGGTTTTTCCCACATTCGGTTACACAGTGAAAGTTTGTGGAAAGTTTTCCTTATAAAATTTAAGTTTGGTCAATTGTATAATAATACTAATAATTTATTCACAGGAATAAGCAGGGGAATTACAATGTACTTCAGCAGGTGGTGTAATCTCTCTGAGGAGATATCAGAGACACTTAAATCAGCAGATATAGCTCCCCTACACAAGGGAGGGAGAGCAGAAACTCCCTTACACAAGGGAGGGAGAGCAGAAACTCCCCTACACAAGGGAGGGAGAGCAGAAACTCCCCTACACAAGGGAGGGAGAGCAGAAACTCCCCTACACAAGGGAGGGAGAGCAGAAACTCCCCTACACAAGGGAGGGGAGAGAAACTCTCTTACACAGCAGAAACTCCCTTACACAAGAAACTCCCCTACACAAGGGAGGGGAGGACAGAAAGAAGCTCCCCTACACAAGGGAGAGGTCAGAAACCCCTACACAAGTGAGGGAGGACAGAAATTCCCCTACACAGGGGAGGGAGGACAAACTCTCCTACACAAGGGAAGGAGGGCAGAAACTTCCCTACACAAGGGAGGGGGGGCAGAAACTCCCCTACACAAGGGAGGGACCCTACACAAGGGAGGGAGGGCAGAAACTCCCCTACACAAGGGAGGGGGGGCAGAAACTCCCCTACACAAGGGAGGGGGGGCAGAAGCTCCCCTACACAAGGGAGGGGGGCGCTTTGGCAACAATTTATAAAACAATCGCATTAACATGACAAATAATAGACGCTTTCGAGAGTGATACAGTTTTTCTGGAGAATAATATGATACACAACCCAGATCAACATAGATTTAGAGATGAAAGATCATGCCTTTTGCAGTTACTTAACCATTATGGCAAATTCATGGAGGAATTAGAAGGAAAGCAAAATGCAGATGTGGTATACTAGCACTTTGCTAAGGCTTTTGATAAATGTGACCTTGGAATGATAGCCCATAAAATGAGTTCAATAGGAATAACAGGTAAAATAAGGTGATGGATATTACATTTCCTATCAAATAATGCAAATAGTAAAAATCAATAAAACAAATCAATTTCAAGCACAGATACAAGCTCTGTACCCCAGGGCACAGTCTTTGCCCCACTGCTGTTTCTCATTCTTATATATTAGATATAGATTTAGATTTTTTATTCAGGTAAAGGTACATACATTGAGTTACATACATAATGTTAGATTTAATAGTAGAGATAGTACATACAATACCTAAAGCCACTAGTACGCATAGCGTTTCATAGATCAAAATACAAGTCACAGCTTCGTGTCATCGTTTGCAGATGACGCTAAAATCGGCATGAAAATTACTTTCTTTAAAGACATTGAAAAACTACAAGCCTCATCCCCGCCGATACCACTAGAGAGAGATAGTGGCTCTTTTGTAAACTAGGCTTGTGCCTCCGAAATCCTTTACACCACCGCCCACGGGATGAGTATGGGGTGCATAATAAAGAAAGAAATTGAAATTGAATTGTAAACTAGGTAAACTCCCTCGTTGAGTTGTGGAGCCTCCTACCAGTCCCTGACTGGCGAGTCATTCTGAAAAACTGGCCTGAAAGCTTTAACCGGTGGGAAGAGTGGGGTCAGAATACAAGTCCAGTTATTAGTAGGCGAGTTATATGCGAGACAACGGTTGTTAGATAAGCACAGGTAAACAACTGCAATTTGTGATGAGTTTCTTAATCCCATTTGATGTTCTAATGATTCCATAGCATTTGGCAATGTTCAATACAGCAAGATTTTAAAGATATTAGTTAAAAAAATCATATATTTCAATGTCTATACATATTATCTATGGTAAGTTAAATAGTTCATATTTTAGGTTATATCTTATTTGTCCATGTCTCAATTCTAATTTATGTTGGATATGTTACATATATTCCATAGAATACACATATTTTTACAATGTCACACTGAAAACAGTTACAATGTAAAATTAATATACATATAAGAAGAAGAAGTATTCAAATTTGCCATTCACTCTTAACTGCATGTCTTAGAAATTGTGTAACTAGCTTCACGAGATTGCTAATTGCTTAGCTAAATATAGTATGGGTTTAGTGTCTGAATCCATTTCTGAATCAGGCCCCATAGCACCACACAGAGCAGACACAATGAGACAGAAGTAGTGGAGGTTGCCTACACCCAGCACCACACAGAACAGACACAATGAGACAGAAGTAGTGGAGGTTGCCTACACCCAGCACCACACAGAGCAGACACAATGAGACAGAAGTAGTGAAGGTTGCCTACACCCAGCACCACACAGAGCAGACACAATGAGACAGAAGTAGTGAAGGTTGCCTACACCCAGCATCACACAGAGCAGACACAATGAGACAGAAGTAGTGAAGGTTGCCTACACCCAACACCACACAGAGCAGACACAATGAGACAGAAGTAGTGAAGGTTGCCTACACCCAGCACCACACAGAGCAGACACAATGAGACAGAAGTAGTGAAGGTTGCCTACACCCAGCACCACACAGAGCAGACACAATGAGACAGAAGTAGTGAAGGTTGCCTACACCCAGCACCACACAGAGCAGACACAATGAGACAGAAGTAATGGAGGTTGCCTACACCCAACACCACACAGAGCAGACACAATGAGACAGAAGTAGTGAAGGTTGCCTACACCCAGCACCACACAGAGCAGACACAATGAGACACAAGTAATGGAGGTTGCCTACACCCCAGGCACTGACTGGGAGACAGTATGAGCCTGGATCGTGGTGGTGAATCACGGCTGCATTACGCGTCCATCGATTCCACTCATAACTAATCCCTCGCTATAGGTGAAGCAATATAGTGTGTATATATATATATATAACTATATAAAAGCGAAGAACTAATCCTCGAAAATATGCAGGACAAAGCAGCAGAGATAAAAGAGCCAGAAGAAGAATCTCCAGAAAAAACAATGAATAACTCAGGACTTAAATCTTACGTGATATACCAGGTAAACTTAAGTATATTGGTCGATAATGTGAACTTAAAACCAACCATTCCTTTGATGTCTTTAATGTTTTTATTAATGGAGGATATACGTAACCCAAATCCTTATCCTCACCCCTTCCAAGGGCTATTAAGTATATTGGTCGATAATGTGAACTTAAAACCAACCATTCCTTTGATGTCTTTAATGTTTTTATTAATGGAGGATATACGTAACCCAAATCCTTATCCTCACCCCTTCCAAGGGCTATATAGTCGTGATGGCTTGACGCTTTCCTCTGATAAGTGCCCTATATACCTCCCTTCCACCTCGATATATCATGGTATAACTTAACTCAATTAGACTATTATATGTGGGTCAGTGACCCACATACCATTATATTGGCTTATGGTGAGTCAGAATTCCGTATTTCAAAATGGTGAATTAATATTGACTGCTTATGAGAAAATATCAAATATATTATAAGGTGTTATTATTCGGTAATTTGTACTAACTAATTCAGCCCTGAGACAGTTACTGCATCAGGCTTGATACAGTTACTGTATCAGGCTAGGGACACGGACGGTATCAAGCCTGGGACAGTTATTGTATCAGTCCTGGTATAGTTACTGTATCAGCCCTGGTATATTTACTGTATCAGGCCCGGTACAGTTACTGTATCAGGCCAGTACAGTTACTGTATCAGGCCCAGTACAGTTACTGCATCAGGCCTGAAACAGTTACTATATCAGGCCCGGTACAGTTACTGCATCATTCCTGAAACAGTTACTATATCAGGCCCGGTACGGTTACTGCATCAGACCTGGAACAAATACTGCATCAGGCTTCGGAGAGGCAAATGATTTCTGGGTTAAGTAACATAAGAAACATGTGATTGTTTCAGGCGCTGGGGGTGACCGGGGTGGGCATGGGCACCTTGGTATCGCTCATGGCCATGGGCTACACCTCTACTGCCTTGCCCTCCATGAGGAAAGATCCACACTTCTCTATAACCCCGGAGCAGGTCAGTTTTGTTCATTGTGCTCCCATATTCACCCTGTATTCACCTAGTGCTTGCGGAGGTTGAGCTCTTTCGGCCCGCCTCTCAACTTTCAATCAATCAACTTATTATCATTTTTCCTCTCCACACACACACACATTCCCAGGAAGCAACCCATAGCAGCTGTGTAACTCTCAGTTACCTATTTACTGCTAGGTAAACAGGGGCATCACGGTGAAAGAAACTCTGCCCATTTGTTTCTGCCATCGCCGGGGATCGATCCCTCTCGTCTCATCAATCACTTTAATGTCCTCTTAGGAAACCTATGCATCTTTTTTTCAATCATGGCAGGTTAGTTTTGCTTTTATTTAATAATTTATGAGTTCGGAAGCGCTGTACGCAGTTGTCTATGACAAAAATCTTAAGCTTCAAGATATCCACGCTTAAATACAGCCTAAGCCGCCATAATTGAAAGAAAGTTTATCTGATTTAAACAAGTATATTATCTTGATAATTCCTGACTGACTGATATGCTGCCTTTGGTATGGTTACAAGATTTTCATTAGTCACTTGATAAGAACAAATTTCAAATATTTCCTCTGTGTAATGCAGAGTTATAGATTATAGTGGCAATGTTACCGAAAGCTTATCTCTCAGAGTTTAGTGTTAAATAATATTCAATGGAGGCCCACTTTTGTCACTTTGAACTTATGATGACCATAAGTTCATCATAATATATGATGACCTTGAAATCAAGTTCAAAAGTTAAAATCAAAAGTTATGAGTTGAACTTATAGCTAGTTTTTGATCTACACTTCTGACAAGTTGTCAGTTTGCTTAGCCAGTTAATCTTACTGAACTCTATCAGTTTTTTTTTAATGTTGGATTTACATTATTTAAAACTAAAAGTGTTTTCATTCATCTTGAAGCACTTAAAGTAACCAAGTGAGATTCAAGACCCATTTCCAAAGCTCAGGATTTGGCACGTATCAATGTTAAACACATTTGCTAGTTTCCTGCACAGTTCAAATATTCTATTTAATGTTCATATATTGAGGCAATGGGATTGATTGTGATTCCGCCGGAGCCGGCTAGTTTATTGAACACCCCATACTCATCCTGTGAGCCGTAGCGCAAAAAGGATTACAGGGGCACATTGGGGGGTAGAAATAGCCTAAGCTACTCTATCCCTTTGAGATGTATTTATTGCTTATCTCAATAAACATACTTGAACTTGATACAGAAGGCACAAAAGGTCTTAATCAGACCAACTTTCTGGCCCTCGCTGTACCAGACACACACACACAAGATTGCATGAGAAATTTTCCATATATAATGGTTTGTCTTTAAATGTGTTGGTGTACTAGGCTTGCCATGATGCGTAATGCTCCATTGTGTTTCTCAAACCACGTGTTGCATAATGAGAATATTGTATACGATGGCTATGCTGTATCACATTGTGATTTCTATTTATTCCATCCATGTTATTGTGATTTATGTGTATTCCATCCACGTTCTTGTCATTTCTGTGTGTATTCCATCCACGTTATTGTGACTTATATGTGTATATTGGACCTGTGTTTCAGGAATCGTGGGTAGGGGCGGTGATGCCGGCCTGCGCTCTTCTGGGGAGTGTAGCCTCTGGGCCGCTGGTGGATCGTCTTGGGCGCAGAGCAACACTTATCCACATTACTTGGCCCATGATGCTATGTACGTGTTTTAGTGGTTCGCCTGGTGTTCTGTACGTGTTTTAATGGTTCGCCTGGTGTTCTGTACGTGTTTTAATGGTTCGCCTGATGTTCTGTACGTGTTTTAATGGTTCGCCTGGTGTTCTGTACGTGTTTTAGTGGTTCTCCTGGTGTTCTGTACGTGTTTTAATGGTTCTCCTGGTTCGAATTCTTCAGGGTGAATAGTTTTCGGTTATTTATAATATATAAACTATTCCTTTTTATATAAATGCAATATATTAAAATGTTAATGCATGCTTGCGTTTTGTTATTGATAAATTAGGTCCAAAACAAACCCTGATTTGTTTATATGTGTTGACTTTTGTGCAGCGTGGGTTATGATAGCGTGGGCTGAGGGCGTGGGCGGCGTGCTGGCTGGCCGCATGTTGGGCGGGCTGTGTGTGGGCGTGCAGACAGCCGCCCGCGTAGTCTACGTCTCAGAGATCTTGGAGCTGAAGCTGCGTAGTGCCTTGTCCGTCATTCCAGCTGCCACCGCTAATCTGGGTAATGGCTGCTCTGAGCTCACCCTCAATGCCTCTCTTTCCTTCATGTTTTCATTTAAGTTCTATATCCTTTCCAGACGGATATTAAGACACTTATTGTTGCCCATGCGCAGTCAACAAGCACAGGGCCTCGTTCCAGATTCACGAAGCAGTTACGCAAGCACTTTACGAACCTTTCTCAATCTTTGGCGGGTTTGTTTACAATTATTAGACAGATTTTGAGCTCCGAAGCACCAGGAGGCTGTTTATAAGTTGTTGTAAGTTGATTGGGACGTTTTCATGCTTGTAAACTGTTTTAATAAATGTATCCAAAGTCGTCATGACATGGGAAAGCATTTTCAACCTGGGATTTAAGTGAATCCTTTATGATCTCTAAGGCTTCCATTGAAGACTAATCAGGGTTTCATACAATGCCCCCAATCACTTGGATTGGAGGGTAGAGCGACGATCTCGCTTCATGCAGGTTGGCGTTCAATCCCCGATCGTCCACAAGTGGTTGGGCACCATTCCTTCCCCCCCGTCCCATCCCTAATCCTTATCCTGACCCCTTCCAAGTGCTATATAGTCGTAATGGCTTGTCGCTTTGACCCTGGGATACATTATTGTGAGTGCGTTGTGCAATTGAAGAGAAGCTTAGACGGTAGAATGACAATATTAAATATCTTCCACATTTGAATCTGTTTTTAATTGTTTTTCAGATTATTTTCAGTGTTGAGAGTATACATTGGTTAGAGTGTATTAACGCCTGTGTTGCAGGTCTCCTGGTGAGCTATGGTGCAGGGAACTACCTTACCTGGCGAGGGCTGGCCTGGCTGGGGGCTGTTCTCTCCCTGCCCACAGTGATGTTCTTCTACCATGTTCCCGAGACACCTTACTACCTCACCCGTACAGGTAGGTGGCCCCTCCCAGGCGGCATGGTCAAGGGCAGGGGAAGGTGGTGAAGGGCAGGGGAAGGTGGTGAAGGGTAGGGGAAGGTGAAGGGCAGGGGAAGGTGGTGAAGGGCAGGGGAAGGTGGTGAAGGGTAGGGGAAGGTGAAGGGCAGGGGAAGGTGGTGAAGGGCAGGGGAAGGTGGTGAAGGGTAGGGGAAGGTGGTGAAGGGCAGGGGAAGGTGGTGAACGGTAGGGGAAGGTGGTCAAGGGTAGGGTAGATAGTGAAGATAGAGGTAAGGTGGTAAAGATGATGAAGGAGCCACTCATTATGGATGAGTGGCTCCTATTGCGACAAGCAGCAACGCCTATGAAGTATGAAATGTGGGTTTGATTGTCCATAGTGATTTTTTTTTTACAGCTGTTTTCATACACACCATCAGCACGATGTTCTCACAACTTTGTATTTAACAACAGTAAACATAACAGTGTGGGTTGCCCTTTGTGTTTTCAGGGGCACATAAATAAATAAATAAATAAATAAATAAATAAATAAATAAATAAATAAATGTGTAAATAAATGTGTAAATATTTATAAATGTGTAAAATGTGTAAAAATGTGTAAAAATAAATGTGTAAGGTACATACATATAAGAGATTTTTACAAAAATTGCTAGGTTTATAGAGAGAGCTGGTACATATAATGCCTAAAGCCACTATTACGCAAAGCGTTTCGGGCAGGAAATATATATTATATTTCCTATAATAATATGATAATTAGTTTCGGGGAGGAAATATATATTATATTTCCTATAATAATATGATAATTCCTATCCTATACATATATTGAATGTGCTGGCGATGAGTCACAATAACGTGGCTGAAGTAAGTTGACCAGACCACACACTAGAAGGTGAAGGGACGACGACGTTTCGGTCCGTCCTGGACCATTCTCAAGTCAATTGTGAATTGAAATTAATGACCCGTACGCGACCAACCGACCCAGAGACCCTCTGCCTAAAATTATTTGAACGCCATATTGAAATTCCTAGCGTATAGCACCAGGAGTGTGTAAATTAATATTTATATGCATTATAGGCCTTTCTAAAGTAATTTATAGATCTGAATATCATATATTGTCTAACAAACGAATTATTTAAGTTAATATTTTAATTATGCCAGATACAAGCCTCATCGCACACAAGAAGATTCATCAGCGCATTTTTTTTTTTTTTTTTTTTTATATTTATTTTTATTTATATATAAAAAGAGTTCTTAAATTCTTGTAAAGCCACTAGCATGTATAGCGTTTCGGGCAGGTCCTTAATTCTAATTTTTTTTCCCCTGAATACGACCCGCCAAATCGTTTAACAACCTATTCTCTGCTGGGTGAACAGTTAAGGATTGTCGCCCGGTCAATCAGGGTTGCCAGATCCAAATTGCTAAAAGTAGCGAGCTGACGGTCAAAAAGTAGCGAATTTGCAAGTAGAATCTGCTGATGTAGACCTGACCAAATGTAAACTGTCAACAAAATTATTCGCACACCCTCCGTCACTATGTGATGGAGTGCGAAAAGATACGTGAATTTAGAGACAATTCTATAACCAATGTACCAACATGTTTAGTATCAGGTTTAGTATCAACAGTGTTCAGTATCAGGTTGTGTCTGATCGAGGGAGGACGCTACGCACGCTACGCTCCTCACTATAAGCTGTATATCAGCCCTTAAACTTACGCCAGATGATGTAGACCACCACCCACAGGCAGCTAAGTACATGGAGTCCAAGCATGTTATAGCAGCTTCCGGTCCCTCACCGGAATTCACTAACTGGACCGAGAATCTGTGGTTCAAAAAGTTGTGCCTAGTCCTCGAGTCACAAAATTCTATCATCTTGAGTCTTCTCAACGAGAATCTAGCGAACCGCGCTAATCTCCAACAACAACAACAAGAAATAACCCTCCTCCGCGAGGATATTAGAAACTACAAGGCTAGCCAAGACCAACTACAGCATGATTTGAATGATCTCCATGAGGTAAACAACCTTCGGAAAACTGATGAAGCCTTAAAAAAGCAGGAGGAAGCTCTCAGCAAAATGACTGCATGTATCAGTACATTTTCAGCTCAACGTTCCGTCTCCCAGGAGGAACAAGACCAGCAAAAGCTGCTAGACTGTTATCGTGTCGTCCCAAGATATACCTGTGGAACATGAAGGTGAAAATTGTTTCGAAATAGCTCAGGATCTCTTAAAAAACAAATTGCAGCTCAATCTAAACAAAACTGACGTTATTGCTGCCTACAGAGTAGGCAAAAAGAATCCATCAGGTCTAAATCAACGGAAAATTCGCCTGAAGCTGTCTTCCCAGTTCACGAAATCCAATCTAGTCCGGACAGCTGCATCCCTACGGAAGGGATTATACATCGAGTGCCTGACCAGGAACAGACAGCAAATCCTCTACCGCCTGCGTCAAATCCGGCAACAAAACCCAGATGCTATTCATCAGTGCTTCGTTAGAGATGGTCTGATAAAGGTGAGAAAAACCGCAGAGGGCAAAATGTTTACTATTACTAGAGAAGAAAACCTCAACACTTTCCTCTCCCAATGTGGTTTGTCTCACCTTATCACTCCCACAGAATTAACTTAATTAACCCCCTGTCAACTAGTGGGGCTAGGTATCCTAAGTCTCCTTGGTTCATTTGCTGACTTAATTTTTAACTTACTCTTACCTAGTCATTTACCGAAATTATTTAATTGAGTTATTAAGTAGTTCTTCATGTCTTTTTAATTATACAGTCATTACTGAACTATCTATAGTTATTAATCATTAGCTTAAATTTGCCTATGTTTATTATTCAACTTTTCTTTGATTTCATTTATTACCTAGGTTGCCTAGCCTAGCCATACTCCCTTACTCCATTGTACCCCTGGCTTTGCCTGCATCTCAAATTGCAAATTGTTACTTACAGTGTACCTGTGAGTACTCGTAAGCAATCTACCTCATTTTTGCTCAATTTGTTTTTTTTTTTGTATTGCTTAGTCTTGCTTATATTTTTTGTTTTGTATTTCCATATCTTGTGTTTTGTATAGTCCATGTTTACAGGTTTTTTCTTTTATCTCATTTATTGCCTAGGTTGCCTAGCCTAGCCATACTCCCTTACTCCATTGTACCCCTGTAAGCCCCTTTTGTGTTTGTTTTGTACAGTATTGTGTATATATTTTTCCCTATTTTATAGCTTTTTTCTACTTATTTCTGATTCTACAATCAGCTTCTTTTATGCAGTCAAGTATAGACCCAGAACTTAACCTCTTATCCACTATCTATGACAATAATCACTTTAATGATCTAAATTGCAGATATTTTGCAGCACATGATGTAAACAATGTATTAACTCATAATCACAATATCTCTGTAATCAATTTGAACGTTAGATCCCTAGGTAAACACTTCGATGATGTTAGTGCCTTGATTGAAACTATTGGCAACAAATTCTCTTTTATTATACTTACTGAAACATGGTTGAAAGAGGATACTACTCAACTCTTTAACATGCCTAACTACTCAGCAATTCACAACTGTCGTCAACTTCAGAGAGGTGGTGGCACTGCTCTTTACTACCACCAAGAACTAACATGCTTAAAAGAAATTAGAACTAGAGACTGCTATGGGGAGTATATCTTCGCCAGCTTCAGAGTCAAGGGTGCCGAGTCTGTCCTGTCTGTGGGTGCAGTCTATAGAATTCCCAACACTGATGTGTCTGTATTCAACTCAAACCTTAGAAATCTAATACTTGATAACAGACTGAACAAAAACCACCTTATTATCGCAGGGGACTTTAATATTGACCTCTGCGAGCCAGAACACCCTACTGCTGTTAGCTTCCTCAACTGTATGAATTCCTGCCTCCTCATACCCTTAATCACTAGACCTACTAGAATCACTGATAGCACTGCCACGACTCTAGATCACATCTGGACCAACATAACCTCTCCGCTTACTTCAGGTATAATCACCGATAGCACTACAGACCACTACCCCACATTTCTCTTAACTAACATTAGCAAACCACCTCTAGAAACAAGGGAGTTAAGCTTTAGGCTGCACAATGAAACTGCTATAAACAATTTTATAACTGCTGCTGATAATGTCAACTGGGAGTCCGAATTAGGTAACATAGGGGACATCAACCTAGCAGTGCAATCTTTTCTACAAACAACTCTTAGCCTTTATAACACCCACTGTCCTAGGCTTACAAAACAAGTCACAAGCAAAAGGCTTAACAATCCTTGGCTTACAAAGGGAATACTGAAATCCATTAACAAAAAACACGACCTTGAGAAGAAGTATAGGTTAGGAATTGTCTCCAAAGAATTCTCAAAGAATTACTCATTATTGCTAACTAAGATAATTAGACGAGCCAAAACTAATTACTACGAAGATAAATTTACTCAAATAAAGAGCAACATTAAACAAACTTGGAGCACAATTTCACAAATATTGGGATCAAAGAAATCTTTAAATAACAAACCGACTCTCCTGTCTAATAACGATGGTCAGCTTTCAGCCTCTGATTCTGCTATTGAGTTCAATAGGTTCTTCTCTTCCATTGGTTCATCCCTTGCAAATGATATTCCATCTTCCAGTACTGACATTAAGGACTATCTTACAGGTAACTATCCACAGTCTCTGTACCTAAAGCCTATTAACTCCACTGACGTCAATGAGATAATCCTTTCCCTTAAAACCAAGTCTGGTGCCCTTGAGGAGATACCAACTTTAATTTACAAAAAAGCCTCCAGATCTTTAGCCCCTGCTATTGCTTTGCTCTTCAACAAGTCACTTGAACTCCAAACCTTTCCAGATATTCTAAAAAAAGCGAGAGTAACGCCTGTCCACAAATGTGGTGACCCCACAGATGTTAACAACTACAGACCTATATCAATCCTGCCAAACTTGTCAAAAATTTTTGAAAAACTTATATACAAGCAGCTTTACTCATATCTAGCCAAACTCAATATACTTAGCCCT